CACTTCTGTCTAGGTTCGCTGCCAAATACTAACAACACGCACTTAGTCTCGTACGATCGTGCCAAGAGTTCGTACCTCACGATACTTTTCTCTAGAAGGAGCCAATCTGGAACGTACCCATAACTATACCGTTAATACCAACATCAAACTTTTAAATGCTGACTATACATGTAGTTTTAGGAAAGAAGCGCCATATATGGTCGTGGTCGAGGTTCGAAGAACAATTCTAGAACATTTGGATATTCACCAGCAGGAAGATTAAACACCGGGCCAGGCTTTGGCCAATCTGCTAATATTTTGAAGCTAGAGCTCTGATCATGATATTTTGATATTAAATCTTAATTTCACCGAAAATCGATAGAAAAATGAAGTAAATCTTTCTCCAACCCTCTATCATATTAATCCTAGGTAGATTCTCAGACTATGAATCCTATGTATATTAATTTATTCTGAATACTGAAAGACCTTGCAGATTTTAAATATTGAGCTTATGGGTACAAGTACATGCGTTGGAGCCGAGAAACGTTTTCCCCGCCACCCAAATCTCACCCACACATTTAGGAAAGTTTTTAAACCAGACTGCTCATGATGAAAGGGCACCACCCAACCAATATTCAATCAAAAGAATACTGGGCATGAGGCAGCTCCAATCTATGAAAACGAATACATGAAGCTATTCTGGTGGTTTTCAAACCAACTGCCCCCGCCGCGCCGGTCAGACTCTGTTTCCAATCTGTAGTATCAGCTTTATTGTATACAAGTGGAATGCATGATACTTCTCACGGTATTAGAAAACAAATATAAAGTAGCTGATTGAATTCATTCGCAAAATACATACATAATACATACTTACATTCAATTCATTTACCCACAAAGTGGGGATATTCAAAACGTAAAGCGTAAAACATAGATCATGAACTCTGATGCACATTTCAAAATGATGAAAAACCATAATTCCCCGTTGAACCATGAACCCATCCTCATACAAAAAGAAAAGGAAATAAAAAATACAGTTCAAAGAAAGAATAAAACATGATCATTTCTCATTTCCCCATAGCCTTCCCCTCCGAGAAAAGCCATTGAGCAACTTTATCTGTCAACCCCCTCTCTTTGGCGACTGATCCCAGCATACTCCCCAACGCTACGAGGCCCAGCGCTGTAACAACACTGAGACTGATCATCGACCAACTAATTCCTCGCTCTGGGACAGGTGGGCTAGGGCTAGTAGATCGACTGGCCCTATCGCTTTTGGAAGAATATTGAGGGAGAAGGCTGGGTCCGTTGGAGTTGCTTGTGTTAATACTGGATATCTGTTTCCGGATAAAATCGAGATCTGACTCCATTTTTCCGAGGCGGGGACCCAGTTGCGAGATATCTATAGTGAGTTTTTGTTGCTCTTGATCTCGCTGTGCATCTCCCGTGTCTACCAATAGATTGTGGGACTCAAGTGATTCGAGAATCTCTCTCTTGAAACAGCTAATGGTCTCTTGTAGCTGATCGAGAGTAACTGTTGTTCCGCCGATTAAACTTGGCTCTGGGCGGGAGTCTCCAATTTTGATACTGCACTCATATTCAAGAATCTCGCGATCACCAGTTAGGTCTGAAAGTCGCTCGGAAAAGAAATCTTCCTGGTAGGTCAACGGTGTATCGCTTGTATCCCCTCTGCTGGAAGGGTCATTAGACATTGGGACGTGGTAATCCTTTCCGAGTTCCGATGCAAGACTGTCAATACCGAGCGAGGTTTGAGACGCAAGATTCTCCGAGGAATCTTTTCGCCCAATCTCCTGCCTTTCCGGTGTATCCATCCCGAACTCTGTCCATTTTGGTAAGGATGCATCTCTTGCGCGTTCTTCATTCTGCTGTTTGATAGTATCACTAGCGTTCTCTGTATAGGCGTTGTTCGAAACATCGTCGTTCGTAATCTCTATATGAGGAAGACCGTGATCCAGACCGCTTTCCTTAATTTCTTTGACTGGAGTATCTTTGAGCAGGTTTGATGAATCGCTCTGTTCTATTGACGCTTCGTCCTGCGCAGCCGCGGAATAAATCTTTTGCTCTCCGGCAAATTCATCTTCATTGGCTCCATCCAAATCACGAACTCCAGCAGCAATACAAAAAGCCAATTCTTCCCCTGCTGCTTCGCCCGCCGGCATATCCTCAGAACTCTCAAGGTCCTCCGGAATTTCCCGCTCGTGTGCTGAATCCTCCATCAACAGCTCTTCAAAAGCTTCCTCCAACTCTTCGGCTACCTGGTCGTGTGTCAAACTTCCTTCAGTCTCTTGAGTTTCCTTATCCGCTGCGGTCTTAATTGATACTTCCTCTGCAGGGGCATGATCTGATGCCCGAGCATGAGTGTCACCCTCTCCCGGATTATATCCCGAACCATGGTTCATATCGATGTCTTTCAGTTCCTGCGTGCCCAGTACTGTTTCACCTAATGAAGCCTCGGTCGATGGATTTTCGACATCAATCTTTGCCTTGTCTGCTAAGTTCTCCACCAATACTTCCTCCATAGGAGCATGATGCTCTGAGCCTCGGTCATGATCATCCCCCTTCCCAGGGTTATATCCAATCTCATCGTCCACATTTATAACTTTCAATTCTTCAGTCTCAGATGATACCTTCTCCACCGATACCCCAGGCGACGTTTCTTCCGTGATGTTCTGCGAATCCTGGGAAGTCTGTTGTCCGTGGGTTGGGATTCCCACTCTCTCGGCGCCGGAAGACGTCTCGAGGACCGCAGCTTCAGTCGATGGCCCTTCGGTGGGAGCATGGTGTTGTGTCCAGTGATCATGACTATCACCCTTCCCAAGATTATATCCAATCTCATCCTTAACATCTATATCCTTAAGCTCCTCTGTCTCTGGTGTTACCTCTTCCGCTACAGTCTCAGATGATGTCACCTCCACGGAACTTTGTACTTGCTTAGCAATCTCTTCACCAATCGCTGATACCGGTTCCTCATCAATACCCCTTGGCTCGTCTATTAGCTTCCCTAAGGATGATCCCCCTGCAGAAACCTCTCCAGCCACAGACGCGGTAAGGTCATGATCCTCTGACTCCTGGCCATTGTTTTCGCCCTCCCCAAGGTTATGTCCAATTCTACCGTTGATATCAATATCCTTCGACTCTTGAGTCTCTGGGGCAATTTCCTCTGCTGCGACCTCTGCCAATGAATCTTTGAGAGAGCTCTGCACCTCTTTACTGCCCTTCCACTCCTGCGCCGACTCTCCGTTAGGCGGATCACTGGCAGAAACCTGGGCGTATATAACCGTCTTCCCCTCTATGCCATGTGTTGACTGGTTCTCGAGCACATTCGGTATTGCTGCGGTCATCTCCTCCCCGCACGACGAAGCCTCCGCTGATTCCTTGTCAGCATTCTGCGCCGGATTCTTCGTTAACGGATCCTCAACGGGAACATGTGCGTGTCTAACTATTTCCTCCGCTAAAGTCTCATTTGAGGGTTCCTCAATACCACACTGAGCCTCGTTTGTCGAATCCTGCATTATTGGCTCGGCGGGAGCATGGTGCTCTGATCCCCGGTCATGGTCGTCACCCTTTCCTACATTGTATCCAATCTCTCCACCCTCAAGGTCGATATGTCTCAATTCCCTTGTCTCGCGGTCTACTTTGGTGTGTTGAGGACCTATATCTTCAGGGTGTAGATGGTTGTGTTTGAGTTCTTGGGTTTCCACAGAGGTGCCGGAGCGCGAGGGACGCTTTTTATGTGCTGGTGAGGCTGTTTCGGATGACGTGGGGTTCGGTGTTTCCGTAGACGGTTTTCGATCCTCTTCGCTCTCGGACTCCTCCTCTTCGCTCTCGGCCTCCTCCTCTTCTTCCTTCTTTTCAGTTACCTCTGTCCGCTCCGATACTTCCTTCTCTTCTTTTTGTTTGTCCTGCTCAATTTCGCTGTTGTCACCGCTTCCGGTCGTCCGGGGTGCTGGTTCGGCTTCTTCACTGGTTGGCACATTAACTGTCCGTTCCTCCTCCTCCATAATCGAATCATGAGTTGGCTCGTTCTCGATCCCTGTAGACATTTTTTCGACACTTTCACCACTCTCCTCAGCTTTCGGAATGCCTTTTTCGACGGGCAATGGATGCGTCTCGAGTAGCTTATTTTCAATGGGCGCGCCAATACCAATTGAGCCAGCAGGAGGTTTGTCTTCAGTGGAGGGTATAGGGAAATCTGAATGTGGTAGTGGTATTTGAGGAGGAGTCGTGACCGGTTCTTGAGAATGACCAGCGCCAGAGGCTGCTGCTGGCTTGCTGGGCTTACTCTTTTTATTCTTGTGATTTCGTTTTCCTTTCCCCATTGTTTTGTGGTGTGATCAATTATTTTCTGGTTACCTGGATTTCGAAAAGTTGTTTCGGCCAATCGAAGTGGGCGATGTGAGATGCGTAACAATATTTTGGTGGTTGCAGGAAAATTTTGAAGGACACCACCCCGTTGTTGGTTAATTTGGATTACACTAGTCGCATGTTTTTGACAGGCATATGACGTCTTTGGCCATCACTCAACCCATCAGCCTTGGCGCGGGGCGAGAGATTGGGATTGAAGAAACAGTAACCAAAAAGAAGGCCCAAGAGTCTTGTCTACGCTGAAAGCTACTATTCCACCTCAATCCCTTCATCTTCCGAACCATGACCACACCAGACCTTTTTTGACTCTACTTTCGCTCAATTGATATCACTCGCGCGAGAACCATGGCCAGCGGCGCCTAGCTAGCTAGGTAATAATACTGTTTATATTGACTCTTCATAACTAACAAAAAACGACTATTCTCTTCTCCAGGTCGGGAAACGTTTCTTACAATTAACATTCCAGCTTAAGTGTTCCACTCCAGGCGTGAACAAAACAACATGACCATTTCCAATAATGCTTGAATCAAGCTCATTTAGAGAAGAGAAATTCTCCAACCTTGGCCTAGACATATATCAGTACAGCTCATCTACTCAAACGAATGGTATCCAAGGGGATAGACTTACTTAACAACGGCTGTTTACTCTGAAATTCCTGCCTTGGCTCTCTGCAACCTCATGTCCAACCTCCTGGCCCTCATAATCTCAGCATCCTCCCTCAAGAACGCCTCCTTCTCCTTCTTGGCCTCGACGGACTCGAATCCAGAGCCCAATCCTCCTCTGAGACCTTGAAGTTCCCCATCAGGTCTCTTGTTGGCCCCACGAATAATTTCGAACTTACCACCTTCCGGGATTGGAAGAGGATGATCGAAGTTCGGGGGGTCAAGGCTGGGACCAATCCCTGCCTTCCATGGACGGAAGGTATTCTTTGCAGTGGTCAGTGCAACGGTGGCAAGAATGCCAGTGATGATATAAATGAGTTTCATCGTGATCTTTGATTATGATATTGATCAGTCAGAGGTGAATAGGAGGGTGGATAGAGCAAGTCAAGAGATTAGTTGAAGGCTTTTGTGCACGTGTGACGAGCCTTTTTCCACTTGACTATCTCGAAAGGAGTGATTGAGGAGTGAGTACCTTCGTGAAATAAGTTTGGAAAGGAATGTGGGTACGGTCTGGTAATGAATGATTAGAAAACATGTCCCCCTTTACGGAAACGAATCATATTAATGAAAGTTTAGTATACGTACGTCTATTTAATAGAAACTGTGGTAACAGTCCTGCTGTCGTTACTGAATTCGCGGAATTCTGTGGTGAATAATGTTTTCTTAGAGGATAACGTGGAGACGAGGGGAAAAGTAAACGTGTCACCTGTTTTATTCAGACTAACAATTTGACACATATCTAATTCTGGCATCATCAATTCTCAATTTGAGCATCGTCATAGTGGCTGTGCAATGCTAACTGGTGATTATGTAATATTACAGTTAAATGCAGTACAGCACTGGGCACGACTAGTGGTATTAGGCTTCGGGTCTAAATAAATATATGTTACGATTCGAAGCGAGATCAAGACCTCAAGAAGATATTTATCCGAAATGACTTCAAAGTACGCATACTGTGCTAAAAGGGAGTGCAAATTGGCTACGGTACTCCTTTTAATGATCAACCACTTGTGGTAATGCGGTAGGAGTACGTACGGTATTCGTACGCTAATATTCTTCCATATTATCACGGTATTGACTTCACCCATGTTTTCGTATTGTATGTAGCCTTGTACAGTGCATGTAATATGCGCGCTGTTACGCTGTCTTATACATACAGTGTGAGTGATAGTTCATGATCCAAACTCGATACTACATGTAGAGGTACAAGTACTGTGTTCTGATGACTGTAGCAACACAAACGATTGGCTGATAAGCGAGACACTGATGATATTGATAGGACTACTAGAGGTTCTATCTTTATACGACACAATTGAGGACAAGTAGTCACGCCACCCATCCCTTGCCATAAGTCCACAGTTGTAGTGTGCGTAACTTATAGTCACGTATCCTGCCCGACAGTACTTGTATGTAGGTATGTACATAGATCTAGATCTAGAGTGCATACATGTACTATGTATATACATGTGTACAACGCATGCAATACATGTGTGTACCTTATCTAATCCTAATATCTCCTATGAATTGCACGTGCGCACCTGTATAACATTTAAACTTAGAAAGCATCATGACATCAATCTACAGTAAGTACATCGTATATGTAGTCACGTATCCGGAGGAAAGAACCCAATTCCTTCCAGCAGCCTTTCATTTAAAGTTTTTGGCTTGGCATGTAATTCTACAGCAAGAAACTTAATTTAGTGTTGAGGTTTGGGCAAAGGTAAGATTGCTCAGCTGTCTCGTGTTCATTCATAATGCTAATATTAATTCCATGTACATTCCAGATTCGCTAGGCTCTTAGGATGATCATGAATCGATTGATTGATTGATTGATAATTCATTAATTGTTTGCAGCCCGGAGGCTATGACATAAGAGTCGACTGAGCATAAGTTGCCTTTTCATAAATAAAAATTAATTCAAGATTAATATTAGAGGGCTCGAATCTTAAAATGTCCACCGAGGGCATTATTCTCTTGAGACGGACAAGGCCGCCTCTAGTTCTACGTAAATTGATTTCCCCAAACTCCGTGCCATCAATAACAAGCTGTTGTGAGAGTTATGTATAAACAATGTAGCTGGCTAGCAGTTTCATACAGCACATATGACAAAAAGATAATGTTTTAAAGGATATGTGTTGCAGTTGGTGTAGTATCATTCTTCTCCAGTTCCGCGTACTTGCAATTAGGGTTAAGGCTAGCTTACTTCATCTTCCACCGACTTTATAGACGACCTTTCATCACCAGATGATCCAACCAGCTAGGAACGCGAATGGTGCGCCGTATCGATTGAATTCCTGGGCCCATTATGCAGCATGCATCTCACCTTTCCAAGATCAGGATCTCTATTAACCAGCCCTTGAAATTTGATCAATTAGCCGAGCCGGATATTCCATGTTGACGACACTATAGCTGCGCTATGGTTATCTTATCCTACCGATACATAGGTTTCATCTAGCTATAATCGATCAAAGAACACATCTCTACATATATGTACAGCCACTCAGCAAAGGTGTTCGTGATTTAGTTTTAATGTCAGTGCGCAGTGTGGCGCACCAGTAATGTTGATGTTATTAAAGTTGAAATTCAAAACAACGAAAAATATATAATATAGTTCGTGACTATATATAAAAAAAGATAGGTCATTGATCTTATTCTTCATTGATTCCTGGCGCCATTGATCACCGGGAAAGTCTTCTCTTGGGTTTTTTTTTGATGGTCCGCCACGGTTACCTATGGAGAAATGTCTCACTCCGAAATCGGAATCACGAACACTTTTGCAGAGTGGCTGTATATACTTGCAGAAGTTACTCCCGCTTAATCTTACACACGGCATGTCTACGTACCGATTCAGTCAATAATACTCGCGGCAGGGAACGTTTATCATCTGGTCAGCACGCACATACAATACCGGAAATGGGGGTAAACTACGCTCGGTAGTGCTGTTTTATTCCAGGTGATAATTAATAAGTACAATGTTATACCCGTACCACTTCTGTATCTTTCCAAATAATATGTTTTAGTTAAGTTTCTGTAGTAATAATGGATTCCTGGAAATGCGGCAAAAAAATCTGTAGTAAAATTGAATTGTTGGTATTGCGTATTGTGTAAAGAATACGTTGTCTGAAAAGTGCAGTATCAATAAATAATTGTTTAGAATGAGCATTAGTTGATCAATACCGATTTTCTGGGTTACTGTGTTCCTTCCGCATTTCCTCGAATGCGGTATTGATGTGGTGTGAGTGTAATGCTGTGTTACTACCAGTATTGTTTATATTAAAACTTCATTTCAGGCTTCAAAACTAGCAGGTTCTCGATATACAGTTAAAAGCTATCTGTAAATATTGTTATCCTGAGAGTTTTGTGTGCGGTTGAGGCGTATTGATGACATTTGATCATATCCTTGTACTTGGTGTCTCATCATAATTGGGAACCGTGATTGTAGTTATTGACATGACTACGTACCAGTCCTGATATTACTACTACTATTAGATTATCTGGTTCTGGGCCCATCAGGCGGCGATCATGAAAAAGCATTACTACAGTATTCATACAGTGTTCCGCTTAATTTATTATTTTGTGTAACACCATAGTAATGCCCTGTCAACCCCGAATTTTAAAACAAAAAATAATTAATTAGAACAGTATTACAACTGTATACCCATTATTACAGTAATACAAAGAATCAGTATTGTCATGACAATCACTATTTCCAATAATAAAAATTATCAAAACTATTGGTTTAACTTCGGGGGGCCTGGGTACAAAAAATTGTCAAGATGGCCGTATTAATACTGTAACCAGGGTGCCCCCATTTCCGGTATTGTAACTCAGTGACAGACGAGCCGGAGAGTTGGTGCAGCACATATATAGCGGTTCAAGTTACGAGCTGGGTCTTCTGGGAAACGAGTTTGAATCCAAAATTCAGTGGGCCACACTCCGAATCAATCGAGACTTGGCTACACTGCACTCGCAATCATAAACCATCACTCACTTTCCACGCCACGTGATATGATGTCACCCATGAATCCCTGACTGGACATGACAATTTCAAAACCCAACAGAGACTTGATTACCTCGATTACCTCGATTACCTCGATTGGCGCTGCGAAGCTGCAAAGTAAGCAGCGTTTTGGCTAGGTTGTGACACTCGTATCGGGATATCAGTTGAGTGGTTGAGACAGAATGAGTGCGTTTGTTCCGGAAATTCTCCTTAAAGGGTTGCCCGCCGGTCAGGATAGACTCGACCCCACGAGCCTCATGATCATGGTCTTGTATATTACAATAATTGTGTGCTTGTGTCATCTTGAAGAAAAGGAGACTGGAGGTACTATATGCAAGCACATGGTTCGCAAAATATCTAGATCAGACGCCGCTACCACAAAAATCTCCCTCAGCTTCTCTTCGCTTGCACAAAAAACCAAACTAAAGCACACATGGTGATCGACGTTCACCGCGCCATCAGACGGCCGCGGTGAGATGGGAAATTTAAAGTTCGATGCGGATTTAATAGCACGATGAGAACCCCGAGATCCGATGATTTGTGATCACGATTTCTTCCCTGAAATCCGCAGGGAACTGGCTATGGGAAGGGCCAGTTGAAGAGATAGCCATAAAAAAATTCCACAGATGAACAAGTTCCCGTTCCCGTTCCCAATCGTTAGATTAAGCAATGCGTACATGTGTGATCGATCCATGAATCCGCAGGTGGAGAGTTGTGGGTTGTTGTGGGTTTCTGTGACCTATGTACATCTTTTTTTGCCTTCCCTTTGGCAAAACAGATTCCTGAGGTTGAAGTTTTGAGTTGAGACTGGTCACTCACTCACTGTCAGTGTCGACGACCACTGGGGAACGTCATAACTAAGCTTTACTGCCAACGCTGGGCTGCGTTGTCTCCGCCTCTCGGGTCGAGCGGCACCGCATACGCCTCCACAAAACAAGCCTCGACAACAGAGATGATGGCTTTTTGCCGTCTTGGCAATTCTTGGCAATATAATCCAGGTCCTGCGTGAGTTCGGAATTGGTCAACAAGGTTTGGTTTAGTTATCGCACAAAATCTCCGACAAGAGAAGAAGTGAGGAAAAAAAAAAAAATGCTCACCTGTCACCTGCATAGACTCCTGCAACCCACCCCTCCTCTCTCTTTCGTCGGACTCTCGGAGCCTTGCTTCGGGAAGCAATTAAGTGGGTTTGGCTTTATCTAATCTAGGTCCCTGGGTCATTTCTAGCTTCCTAAATTTCTGTCTATACATGCTCTCGGTCTGGTCTCCGGGTGTAGACGTACCCAGGTACGTAGGCTACTATGCTCCAGTAGGTACATACATATAT